AGACGAGCGGGCGATCGTGGCTAGACGCGGTTGGCAAAATACAGCTGGCTTTGAATTGCACCACCAACCGCGTGACTAAATCGAGCCCATTGGAACTATTAATTGGTAGCACAGCAAAAACCTTACTACTCGTTGATACCCGATAATATCGACGAATGAGAAGTAGATATCTCTGATCTAAGACAGCAGGCAATAGAGAATATAGAAATTAGAGCTAGGTACGATAAAGGTGGAGTTGACAAAACTAAAGCTAAGGTAGTTAGGTTTAACCTTGGTGATTTTGTATTATGCAAAAACGAGGAAAGAAACCAGACGAAGTTAGATCCGAAATTCAGGGGTCCGTTCGAGATAGCAAAGATTTTGGAAGAAGATAGATATACTGTAAAAACCTTAGACGGCAAACAATCATATAAGGACAGACATGACAGACTGAGAAGAATGCTAGAAAGTTGCGCCCCTGCTGAGATGGACGCTGCGTCCCTGCTGAGGTGGACGTCTGCGGTGATGACAACGATGGTGATAATAACGATGCAAGTGCACTGACCTCAGAGGATCATTAACACCACGTTGTGGTCGTAGTATGTACCCACAGTGACGTTTGCGTATCTGCAATATATCCACTGTGATACATATATATGTGCGTGCAATGGTAAATATGACGCCTTATTTTTATGGGTCACTTGCATAATTAATGGAAGTGAATGTTATAAATATCGCCTACTTTACAACGTGCGTGTATATATATATTGGTGAACATAAGTGAAAATTATACGCATAGTTATAAATGTTGTTTGTTTTCAGGTGGATAGCATCAGTACTTGGTTTCGTGAGTGGCATACCAATACTTTTCAGTTCTACTATGCGGATTGCTATTCATGTTCTTCCGTCCGTCGTTCAGAGAATGGTTGATGAGTTCGCCATCGGTTCTGTACACACATATAAAAATAGTTAATATACATATATTGTTTATATAATTTTCTTTTGGATCTGTTCCCTTGTACGAATACTATATCCCTGTATATATATAATATGTTATAATCGTGTTAGTTGTTATTTATTGTATATATATTCCTTAACTTTCTCTCCCTTTTTATTTATTTGTACCTAACATTGCTACTATGATGCGGTATTATATTGCATTAGTTGTTATTTGTATGTGCGCGCGACGAATTTTTCAATATGGTCGCTCGCGTGTTTCTTTGGTATGGCGTTGGTTTAATGTCAACAGTAACATATTGTTGAAATAACTAATTAATTGTTAATCACTATAATTTTATTTAGTAGCGGTTTGTAATATTGTTTTGTGTTTCATGATATTGTGTGTGTCAATACCGTGTGCTACTTTAACGTGATAGCATGGATTGTATTGTTACCGAATTTCAATAATCATTGTTTCGATTATACGTGACTTGCCTTTACGTAAGTCTCGTTTAATTTAGTTAATGCTTTGTGTATTGTGTTACCAGTTATTTCGCGTAGCATAGCTTTATTCTTTTGCACCGAGTTCAGTCATGTCTTGTCGTTAATATTTAGTTAGTCTATCTTGGTTAATTTCTAACCCATTTCTGTGTTTATTGACCTTTCCTTATTTTCCCTATTAATTTATTATTGCATGTACTTGCTATTTGTTATTATTTTATGTATGATATGGATTAGTTCCCTTATTAGTGACTAAAATTTATTTGTCAGATTAACATTGTCTGTGATACTTCAGATTCTACTTATTCGATGCTGCGTCACTTACCTGGATCATTCCTACAACGTCATCCAATTCTTCGATGTGCCTTGGATACTTACTACGGTTGCCTTCAATCGTCTTACATCTGTGGCTATAAAGGTACTGTTTAATTCATTTAATTTAATATGTGTATAATGCATTGTGTTTGCGATCGCTGTTGTACATTACAAAATCCACTTCTGCATGTTAAATGTGATAATATAACAATACTACGTAGATTAATACATGATAAAATATCCTTTTACTCCGGTTATATTTATTACTAACTCTCAATTAATCTATCTTAATTATTTTCTAACCACTTTCTATATTTGTCAGCTATTTTATTTCTTCTGCGAAGTCCATGCATGTACACTTCCTTGTATGGTGATTGATTGTTCACGAGGTAAGTTGCACTTTCATTGTTTTCGTTATTCGTTGAATTAACACGTTTTACATTCAAACAGTAATTGGAGCACTCGTAATAACCCCCTTTTTTTTTCTCTTTCCAAGTTTCCGCTATCTGTGTCATTCGACGAACAGTGCCATGCTTCCCCAGTATTGTTATAACATTTGGTACTGTTGTATTTTGCATTAAGGCAATTGAAGTTAATTCGTTCGTTTATTTTCAGCTGGTGCATGGTGTTCCGCAAGCAGGGAGCCATAACCTATTTTGCATGTAGACCCTCTTGTATGATGATTACTTGTTTACAAGGTAACTTTCACTTTCCCTCTTTTAATTATTTATTGAATCGACACGTTGTATATTCAAACAATAATTGGAGTACACATAATAATTTTCCTTTTTCTTTTTAGGTTTTCGCTATCTGTATTGTTCGACGAACAGTGTCGCACCTCCTTTTGATTTATCCATAATATAGTTATAACATTTAGTAACCTTGTATTTTGCACTGAGACAATTGAAACTAATTTATTCACTTATTTTAGGTAGCTGTCATACATTGTGTTCCACGAACAACAATCCATAACTTATACTTGCACGTACACTTCCTTGTGTGTTGATCACTTGTTCATAAGGTAATTTTCGCTTTCGCTAGTTAATTGTTCATTGACTTAACACGTTTTATATTTAAGCAATAATTCAAGCACGTATAATAATTTTCCTTTTTCCTTTTAGGTGTTCGATATCTGTATCATTCGACGAACAGCACTATAACATATACTACCGCGTTACGTTGCCCACTGAAATCGCTCTATTCATTGCTTATTTCGATTATGCGCTAGTTTTAACTTGTTTAAATGCACCGTTCGCGGAATCCCTTTTACTTCGATCTTGACGTTTTGGTTCTGTAAGATTTCTAGCACTTTGTATGGTCCAGTATATTGATCGGAGAATTTTCCTTTACTGGGTTCTTTTAGTAGATATATCGAGTCTCCTGTTTTAAAATCTTGAAGGTTAATTCGTCGATCGCAATATTCTTTTGGTCTTAGTTTGGATTTTATCAAATTTTCTCTTGTCATTCGTTGTACAGTGTTAATTTTATTGAACAGATCTTCGATATATTCTGCGTATGTTGGTTCCATGTTCTCTTCGATTGTTACTTCACCAATAGGTTCTCTGGCTAGATGTCCAAAACTAATTTGTGCGGGGAGAATTTCGTTCCTTTCCTTCATTTTAGTTTTTATTTTGCGCCAAGACGCAAGTTTACTGACATCGATCCAATTATCCAATTGCTTGACAATAGCATTCAAGATACAAATTTTTGAAAATGCCGCAGCCATATCACCCCAAAAATATTTTGTATATAGTATTGTGTGATACCATCTATATTTTCCTGGGGGAATCATAAGATCAGCACTACTTACTATGTTACCTACGTCAAATATTAGATGTAGTAACCAATAAAGTATTTTTAATCCAATTATGATCCAATGGCTAGCGTATTTATTGAAGTTTTTATATATATCTTCGACTGGGGATTCCTTTTTTTCTCCCTTTTGATTTCTTTGAGCTCGTTGAACTTGCGTTTCTTCAGCTTGAAAATGTTTAGAATCCTTTTCCTTAGTTACCCTTTTTTCTTCTCCATTTACTTTATTCACAACACCTTTATTTTTCTCTACCTTTTCAGGATGAATAGTTTCACTGGAAGTGCTTATTATAATTAAATTATTATTTATTTGTATGGAACGTTTAGGAATATTTTTGGTAGATTTGGAATTATTCTTTGAATTTTTATTACAAACCTTTTTGCTTATAGATTCTGTTTTGGATCTAGGGATAGCTATATTTTTATTTTCTATAGTGTGATCTTCCTTGTAATTTAACGATTTGGCTTTGAGTTCGATAAAGTTTCCTTCTGATAGTTTTATAGAAGTTTTTGAGTGAGATGCACTCGCTATCTCCTTTCCTATTATGGTTGAGACATTCACAAAATTCGTGGAATCTTGCTCTTGTATCTTTGCCAAGTCGAACGTGGAGAGGCAATTCGCACTTCCCAGCGGGTCCAATATCTCTGTGATATTAGGCAGTGGATAAGCATTGCCTGTCGTCTCGTCGTTCAATTTCCTAGTTTCTGCTTCGTCTGAGAGTCCTTTGGCACTAATATTATTTATCTTGTTTGGTAACTCAGAAAATTTCTCACTCATGATCCTGTCTATGGCACCGTGCGTCCTCTTATTATTTAACGTGACATTATCCCTTATCACAGCAACGGAATGGTGTTTGCATTGAAAAGTTGATTGGTTGAAATGATCAGCATCTCTCTTTTGATTTAGATCTCTATCGAGGTATTTATTTATGCGTTTTTCTTCCCAAGTTATTGCTCTTGTTTCTTTCCTGACATTTTCTTCTATTTCCGGGTTATTTAGATGTTTCCGCGACGGCGGTACAAATCTCCAGTTCTGGCGGTTGTTTACAGTATAGATACTATTGTATTGTGGATGAACGTTGTTTTGGTTATCATTATCCGAAGGTGTCGGATGTCGGTATCGAATTCTATTCTTCACTTGTTTTAATTCTCGTGTTGCTTTCACGGCTTGCCGGTGCGCATCGTCCAAGGATTGGTATCCTGCTATCTTTACTCGTAAATGCACCTCGTTTGGGAGCCCCTTAACGAAAGCTTCCCTCGTGTCTCGATCTATCCTATCTTAAGATACGGTGCCGTACTGGTACCTTTCCCTGTTCATTATCGCCAGCCTGAGATCTTTGACGCGTTCTATGTAGTCCAAAATATCTTCTCCCGGTCGTTGCAATATTGTAGCTAATTCCCCTTTATATTCGTTTTTCCCGGACCGAACATATCTTTTAATTTATTCCCGAAATCGTTTATACTTATTACTTCTGTGTCTTCTACGGCGAGAAACGCGTAGCTAATTCCCCTTTATATTCGTTTTTCCCGGACCGAACATATCTTTTAATTTATTCCCGAAATCGTCTAAACTTATTACTTCTGTGTCTTCTACGGCGAGAAACGCGTGCCCGCGAAGTTTATTCGTTAATAATTTTACTAACTGAGATTCTTGATGCTTAGGAACCATGTTTCGTGCGCGCTCGCATGCTCTTAAAAATCGAAATACCGAGGGTCAATGTCCGTCGAACACTGGTACTGTCTCTATTGCATCTTTTAACTTAATTGATTGGGGATTAACTTCTATCGGTATTGTCGCTTGGGAAATTATCGGCGATGATACGGGTGTCTTGATTTCCTTTTTTATTTTCAGTGAACGCACATCGTCTTGTAATTTATTCATTGTTGTACTCATGTCGCGAAAATAGGCTTTTCGTCCACGATACTACACTCATGTCGCGAAAATTTGCATCCCATGCTTTAAGTTTTTCCGATAACATCAAGATCATGTCTTTGTCCAACGATTCTAATTTAGTCGACATTATTTCTTAGGTATATATTTTATCGATAATCGTAACAACTTTAATTCTTTGTGGAGCGAATCGAACCGGTTAGACCAACTTTAATCCTCCGTGGAGCGCATCCCACCGCTGCCACCAAAAATTGTACCTCTAATGTTACGTATTGATTTATTGAAATCGATCAGATTTTAAATTTAAGTTTTACTGAAAATTTTTTTTTTTTTTTTTCGTTTGAGTTTGAATTTAATCTGAAGGAAAATAAATTGAAATGATATTATTGTGTATGTAATACTGATTTAGATTTCTAATTAATACGGTAGTTGCTGCCACCAGAAATAGTCTAAGGACTATTTCAAAATATTTTATTTTTATTATTTTCTTTACATTTAATGGGTAGCGTTAACTGACGCTTAATGCAACTGGTAAACGAATTCCACTTTTCGGCTAACCTGCTATGTGCAGGGATACTGGCACGGGAGAGGATTAAAGCTGGGAACAATAAATATTTGTCCTCGTTGAACGGATTTTTATTTGAATGTAGAATTGCTTAGATT